AGGCTTTTGATACTCTCAAGCAAGCCCTGGTGTGCGCGCCCATTCTGGCACCTCCCGATCCCAACTGCCCTTCGTTCTTGATACAGATGCAAGTGGGGATGGAATAGGGGCTGTTTTGTCCCAAGTGTGGCCAGACGGAGAGAAAGTAGTAGCATATTTCAGCAAGCTGCTAAACAAAGCTGAAAAAGGTATTGTGTCACACGACGAAAGCTGTTGGCCACAATTTCTGGCACTTCAAGTGCTACTTGGGTGGTCGGCACTTCACCATACGCTCTGACCATGCCTCCTTGCAGTGGTTGATGACTTTCAAGGAACCAGAGGGCCAGGTGGCTCGTTGGCTCAAGGAATTGCAGAGTTATAAGTTCACCATTACTCATCGTGCAGGGGAACGCCATGGTAATGCAGACGCCCTGTCGAGACATCCATGTAGTATGCCGGAATACAGGTATTGTGAGCGCAGAGAAGCCAGAGAGTGGGAGTTTAGCCGGAAAGTGGATGGTAGCGATTGGCCCGAGCCGGTCTGTCGGGAGCTACAGGAGGTGGATGTCACTCAATGGGAGGAGAATCAAAGGGGGGACCCAGACCTACAGCCTGTGATCCTCTGGGTAGAGGCACAGCAACGACCACCATGGGAGGCGACTTTGGGGTCGGAGAGCTAGTTTGGGCAGTTAGGAAGAGAGGAAGGTGCCCTAAGCTGGACAACCACTGGGTGGGACCATGCCCGATATTGGACAAGCTGGGGGAGGTGGTGTATCGAGTGCAGTTGCCTTCTCGGGGGCGCAAAGTGATACTGCATCGTGATAGGCTGGCGTACTTCCTTCACAAGACAGTGAGACTCAAAGGGGGTCAGAGGGGGTAATTGACCAGTTGATATGGCCAGTAGTGGCCAGCAGGTGACACCGCTGCCCGACATCCCTCAGGGTGATCATTCGCAGGGCTCAGAGGAAGCGGCACCTGAAGTCAAAAATCACATGCTACTCAGGGGGCGTCCCAGGAGGGAGAGGAGAACCCCAGTCAGATTTTGAGACTTTGTCCTTGGGGTCGAGGACTTCAGTTAGAGGGGGGTAATGTAACGTGTTCAAAATGATGTTTTGTTACAAATAAGGATGCATTTAATGTCAATGTTGTACTTTATTCGTTTTATGTGATTCGTTTGATTCGTTGTTCAAGTTTAATATGGAATGAGGCTCCACCCCTTTGGGAGTTATGGGGGAGTGAAAAGAGCGCCTCGCTGGTTCAAGTGCGGTTCTCTTATAAACGGGTATGTATGGCGTGGGCTGTGGCCGACAACAGCCTCTAATAAACACCTTTTGTGATTAGAACTGTCTCGTCCTTGCCTGAGAACGCTACACTATGATTGATTCTCATGTCCAGTTTTCCCAAATCACATAATTCTTGTTTGCTAGGTGGATTCCAGAGTCAGCACGATGGCTCATAGCCAATGGACGACTGGAAGAGGCCCATCTTTATCTGAGCAAATGTGCCTCAGCTAATAACAGGCAACACAACCTCAGAGATATTAAACCAGAGGTAACCTTTTAATATGTAACATTGAGAAAGATCCAATTTTCGGCATTTTCCTAAAGCTTTTGAGAACATGATTTTCAGACCCTTGCTAATGTTATAATTGCTGAGGACAGAGGTGACAAGAAGTACTCGTATCTGGATCTTGTGAGGTCTTCTAAGATGAGGAAACTGGCTCTGCTTACAGGAATCACTTGGTAGGAATGTTTTACCTAGGTTATAGACTTTATGATGGCTAAAAGTATGGTTTGCTCTTTAAATTCAAATCTGAACAACCTGGTTTACTAAGAGAAGATATTGAGGTAAATTGTTTTTGCAGGTTTGGAGTGGCATTCACTTACTACGGTATCAGTTTGAACATCAGTGGCTTTGGGCTGAACCTGTACCTCACCCAGTTTATTTATGGTGCCATAGAGATGCCATCAAAACTGGTGGCCTATGTGTGTCTTGATAAACTAGGCCGCAGGTACAGTCAGGTGGGAACGCTGATTACAACAGGGGTCTGCACTGGCATCACTGTCCTTATTCCCAGAGGTAAAGGATAGAGAACAATCATTTATTTGGATACCACAATCATGTGTGACTGTGAATGTTTGTTTTATTTAGTTTATTCAGTTACAGAACAACAATATATTGGAATGTCACAGTCATAAAAGACTAAAAGTCATCCATTGTGATATCACAGTCATCTGTTCAGACTGTCAATCATTTAAAAAAATTATATTTAAGTGAAACGGCTTTTTGAACAAGAAAAAATGTAGGGCGGGACTTTTGATTGGATTGTTGTGGTTTGCTATTGCTGTAATCTCATGCGAGTAAAAACATCATTGGAGAAGAGAAGAGATGTCGCTGCAAGAGGGAAGGGAAATTATTTTGATTAAACTAGGGCACATGAAAAAAATGTTTTTAAATAATGGTGTGCATGGAAAAATCATTTATAATACATCCTGCTATATTCCTTTAAAAAAGGGAAATTGTCCATTTTGATTTCATGGTAACTTTAAAAGGCTTTTTAATGTCAAAATCAATTGTGTCAAGTTAACGTTGAAGTATGTATTTTTTCTAGTGTTAAAATGCTTTATCTTATCCCAGTTTAATTTGCATAAAGGCAAATATAATTGAGCCATTTATGGGCTGATTTCCACACAATGTACAACAAAATCAAAACATTGCTCTTCTGATTTAAGTGTACTAACAAGGTTTTGCAGGTTATTATGCAGATGTAATTACACCACCTGGCCACAAAAAGCATTTTTTCTCCAATTTATGCCAAGTAGCTACGTATTTAATAAAATACATTTTCATGTGGCTCTCAAAATATTAGTTACATTTTAGTTAAACATTTCAGTTATGCCATTTATGGTGAATGGCTCAGGTGATGGCACAGACATTTCACACTGAACTTCACCTATGTTCAAATTCTCCAGCTGTCTCTGTGTCCGTCTCTAGATTTGTTGCTGCCTCGTACAGTCATTGCTGTACTGGGTAAAGGATTCTCAGAGGCCTCCTTCACATGTCTTTTCCTCTATACCACTGAGCTGTACCCGACTGTGTTACGGTCAGTTTATCATTTACAAATGCTCTTGATGTTTGTGCATAATAAAATGCAATAAGCTAAAATTTGTTCAGCAAAGAAATGGGTTATTAACACTCTTTCTCTTTTGACCATAGGCAGAATGGATTAGGCTATAGTTCATTTGTTGGTCGTGTTGGTGTCTCTTTAGCACCTCTTGTGAGCCTCCTGGACGAGGTGTGGCTCCCTCTGCCACAGGTCCTGTTTTGCTCCGTAGCCGTCATTGCAGGCTTTGTTGCGCTGCTCCTCCCTGAGACCCACAATGTGCGGCTTCCTGAGACTATTGAGGACATTGAGAAAACTAGGTGATTGATCATTTACTATATACTACTACTACTAGAATGAAAGATAATAAAAAATTATTGTCATAATATAGTTTTCATGACACTTAAAATATCTCACTGTGTTCAAAAGGAACTTGATATAAAAATATTAAATACATATTTTTGTTTAATTAACTTAAACCACTGTTTTTTTTTTCTCAGGAAAAGATCAGTGTGTTCACAACTTGAATATCAGCTTGGAAATGAGCTCTACAAGGACACAAAATGAATCTAACCTGTAGAGAAGATGAATCTAATAAAAATCAAATTCATCACTGAAGTCTCTTGGTCTTAACTTACTCTTAACTTACTCTTCCGCCAATCTACAAAGCCTTTTCCTCTATATAAACTCAGCAAAAAAAGAAATGTCCCTTTTTCAGGATACTGTACTTAAATAAAAGTTTTTTTAAAGGGTTTAAACAATGTTTTTTGTGCTTATTCCATGAACCATGAAAAACCAGAAGGCATGAGGACTGCAGATGTAGCCAGAGCAATAAACTGCAATGTCCGTGATGTAAGACGCTTAAGACAGTGCTACAGGGAAACAGGAAAGACAGCTGATCATCCTTGCAGTGCCAAACCACATGTAACCATATGTCCTCCCAGACTTGTTTGAGAACAAATGCCTTGGTGGAAGAGTGGGCAGTGGGGGAACATCGCACAGCGAGAACGGGCAAATCTGGCTCAGCCCATGAGGATGAGATGCACTGTACTTAAAGCAGCTGGTGGACACATTAGATACTGATAGCAAGTTTGATTTTGTAATTGACTGCTACCCCTGCCCCCTGTTCAGGGACTTATTGTGCATTTCTGTTTGTCAAATGTCTGTGAAATTTGTTCAGTTTGTTTCATTTGTTAAATCTTTTGTGTAGCCTACATACAAATATTTGCACATAATAAGACATTTGCTGGAAAAAAGGCAGTTGAAAGTGGGAGGACCTTTTTTTTTTTCTTTGCTGAGTTTATATACAATGCTGTTCAAACGTTTAGAGTTGGTTTTGGTCATACACATGCTGAATTTATTTGATCAAAAATACAGTGAAAACATCAGTAGTGCAAATTTTTAGTATTAGTAAAAATTAGTAAAACTTTTTTTATTTTAGTATATTTTTAAATATAATTTATACCCTACTCCAGTCACATGATTCTAAAAAAAATTTAATTTGGTGCTCAACATTTCTTATCAATGTTGAAAACAGTTGTGCTGTTATTATATTAAGATTTTGTGGAACGAACAGCATTTAGTTGCAATAGAAATCCAACATAAATGCCTTGTAAGATAAATGCCTTTTGATCAATTTAATGCAGCATTGCTGAATAAAATTCATGACAAATTTCATGCTAAACAATTAGTCAGTTTAGAGAATCAAAGTGAACAGACTATGGCTTGAGAATTTGAAAGAAGCAGTTAATCTGTGTCTGAGTGCACAGATAGCATGAGCTCAGAATGACAAAGCAAGAATGAACTTCTTTTATAAAATTACCATAATGTAAAGTTTCAACCAAAGGGTTTAATTTTTACAAATGTTCCACAAAGCTTTAGACATCCCCCCTGTTAACCATTTCTTCCCTTAGATTGTGAGGTATGAACTCAACGTCCAGGTGAGACAGATCCACAACCAGGTCAAGCGCAACTGAGCACAAAGATGAAGTTTGAAGATCTTCTCTCAGAAATTAATGGATTCGGAAGGTTTCAGAAGATGGTCCTGATCATCAACTTCTTTGGTCGATTCAGTCTTGCGTGTCATTTCCTGTTAGGCAACTTCATTGCTGTCATCCCGTCTCATCACTGCGATATCGGCTCTCTGGATGCTGACGGGATCCTTGGGAATCTGAGTCGAGAAGAGAGACTGACTGTCAGTATTCCTGCACAGGAGGATGGGACTCCTGCTTCCTGTCACATGTTCTCGTATCCTCAGTTCCACCTGCTGATGAACTCCTCCAGACCTTCAGAGGTTGCTGTAGTGGAGTGTCAGAATGGATGGGAGTATGACAACAGCACATTCATCAGCACTCTCGCCACACAGGTAGTCTCTTGCTTGCTATGTATCGATGATTTATTGTATTCTATTCTAATTGTGGCCTCTTTCTCTCTCTCTCTCTTTCTGTTCAGTGGGATTTAGTGTGTGACAACAGAGCACTGAGCAGATTGACAACCACCATCTTCTTCATTGGGGTCATGTTTGGAGCAGCTGCTTACGGGAGCCTGAGTGCAATGTTAGTGCAACTAAACTGGATATAAACATTGATATGGTTTTTTTTACCATCTCAAAATGAGCTCAATACATTTCTTAAAGGCATAGTTCGCCATAAAATGAAAATTCTGTCATAATTTACTTATGACGCTCCAAACCTATATGAGTTTCTTCTGTGGAACACAAACAGTTCTGGTAACCATTAATTTCCATTATATGGTTAAAAAAAAAAAATCCACAAAAATATTCCAAAAGTTCCAAAGAAGAAAGTCATACAGGTTAGGAAACGACATGGTGAGTAAATTCTGACAGTAAATGCTGACATTTTTGGGTGCATTTTGGTGACACTTTAAATTCCAGTTGCATTAGAAACACACTGGCTTAAAAGTAATGTTTTTTTGGTGGTGTTTGTACCAGCACTGGAGTGTTTCTAAATGGATACATGTCTTATTCTACACAGGTATGGGCGTAAGCCGATGTTGTTGGTGTCACATATATCAGGAATGGGTTTTGGATTGTGTAGTGCTTTTTCTTCCTCCTTCATCATGTTTGCAGTGCTGAGATTCTTCACTGGATTCACCATCACTGGCAGTGTCATCATCTCCACTGTACTCAGTGAGGAGGACCTTTCTATTTTAAATTGTTTTATTTTTGTTGTGGTTTTAAAGCAGCACACAGTAGTGTTTCTAAAATGAAACTCAAATGCCTCATTCATTCAAATGCCTCATTCATTCATTCATTCATTCATTATCAGATGTGGAGTGGGTGAGCATTGAGCACAGAAAGCTTGTAGGGGTGATTGACAGCCTGTCTTGGACATTTGCCTTCATGAGCATTTCCCTGATTGCATACTTTATTCGAGACTGGAGATGGCTGACAGTTTCCATCTCATTGCCCACCATTATTGCCATAATCACTTGGTGGTGAGTATAAATAAACCAATACTAAGTAGATGTCTTAAAATATCTGTAAGTCATCCGGTACATTAAATATGCCTTTTCCAAGAAAGTCGCTTGCAGATCAGAGTAAAAGCAGTACATTCTCAATATGAAATAATCAATAATGTGAATAATGTCATAGGTGGATTCCAGAGTCGGCTCGGTGGCTGATTGCTAATGGGAAGGCAGATAAAGCTTATAATTATCTTCATAAATGTGCTGTCATGAATCGTAAAAAAGAAGGCACTGCTAGGATAAACCCTGAGGTGAGAGATTCCAGAAATAAATCTAAAATGCCAGTAAAAATATCAGCAACATATTTTTGCTAGCAATGGATGGTACAGTATAGGGTCATTCCGTGTCAAATCAACCAAATTTCAGAAACTTTCCCGGCTCAAATGTTTTATTTTGATAATATTTTTTTCTGTAGAAAGACTAACATAAATAGTGATGAAAGCCAAAATATTAAAAGTCACAGATGTACTGAGTACACTGTTTTGTGGGGGTCAAATTGACAATTTTCACCTGAGATTTGGAGCCAAATTAGAGGGGGGTAAAAATGACTTTAGAAAGATGGCAGCATCATCATTTTATTTTTACACAGAGATTGGTAGGTCTATTAGTAAAATCTGTTGACTTTAGCAAGCTCTGTTGCATTATACACCAACAGTGACAGTTCAAAAATGGCAAAAAGCGCTTCTACATTTTCTTTTAGATTCTGGTTCTTAACAAACTTTCCTTTTGGTATAAATCCCAGAGATATGGAGATCTTAATGCGGCTTCATGAGTAAATTGGTAAATTGTACACACTTTCAGTGGTCAAAAACCAAACGTGGATTACTTTCCATACAGATGATACTTTTTTTCTTTTAAAGAGGAATATCTGATGAACAAATAATGTTTGTTCTTACTCAGTGAATATGCATCTGTGACATTTAATATTTTGGCTTTCGTCACTATTTATGTTTGTCTTTAAAGCAGTGAAACGGAATATTGAAAAAGGAAAAATGTAGAGCAGGTTGTTGATTAGATGGATGCAGATCTGAATGTGAGCTTTCAGTCGAAAGGGGCAGGTTTAAACTTACGAAATAATTGGAGACGTCCAGCATACATCATCAGAGAGTCTGTCATTTCTAAAAAATAAAATAACACATTGTTTACAGTGGTGTTAATAGGGTCTGTGTTTGTTTTCTTGCTTTTACTTTACCATAGTTTGCTTACATAGAATCTGAACATCTTTGTTTTTCTCTCTCTGTCTAGGAGTTGGCTAAAATCATAGTTACTGGAAGAGGGAACAGGAAGTATTCATACCTGGATCTGATCAAGACTCCTAAGATGAGGAGACTGGCTTTACTCACAGGAATCACCTGGTGTGTCAAATCACAATCACAAACACACACCACAGTGGCATCAGTAAAAGGGTGTTCAGATTAATCTAATTTTGCACGTTCCCGCTGCTTTCTAACTGCCAGGTTTTCTGTCGCCACTGTTGCCTATGGAATTAGTTTCAACATTTCAAGCTTTGGACTAAATATGTACCTCACTCAGTTTGTGTATGGTGCAATTGAGATTCCTGCCAAATTGAGCATCTATTATCTGCTGGATAAGTTTGGAAGACACATAACTCAAGCTGGATCCTTGCTGTTGGTTGGAATCAGCCTCATGATTAACATATTCATACCCAAAGGTGAGAGACTTACAACTTATTGACTTTTTGACATGAAGAATGAAATGACAATGTAGGTTTGATGAAAAGATCTAATGCAACAATGATTTCACTTGCCATTCAGATAAGACAGTGGTCCGTACGGTTATAGCCGTGCTGGGAAAAGGCTGCTCCGCCACGTCTTTTGGTACAGTTATTTTATACAGTTCTGAGCTTTACCCCACTGTTTTAAGGTAGGAAAACTAACTTCATGCTCAGTTGTACGCAAGTAAAACTATATCTATCAACAACTAATTATTTATGTATTTATTGAAATGTTGCGCTGCCTGTAGGCAAAATGGGATGGGCTATAATTCCTTCGTGGCACGTCTCGGTGTGTCTGTGGCTCCTCTGATCTTGCTATCGGATGATATATGGAGCCATTTCTCTCAAGTCATCTTGTCTTCTATTGCAATCTCTGCTGCTTTAGTGGCTTATCAGCTACCAGAGACACGAGGCAGGTGTCTGCCTGAGACTATTGAGGATGTTGAGGGAATGAGGTAAGGTTATGTGGAAAAGCTATCTAGTCTATGTATTGTGTTTCCAGGAAACTGAACCCTTAAGATGTAACATTTGCTTCTCATCTCAGGAAGGGCACTGATGGCTCACCACTACAAGATCGAAAAATGGAGGAAAAAGAAGGCAGTAGGGTGAAATGGAAAGATGATTTAATTTTGCAGAACACATAACTATAGCATCCATAGATCCATCAAATTTCCTATTTATGTGTTACTGTATCATTTAATTAAACAATTTTAAGAGAAATTTGAAGGGAGGTGTTGCATGTTTTCTCATTGTGTTTACTGTTTTAGTCAGAATTGTGTGGACTCATTATTCCACATATATGGGAATATCATAGTAGAAATAGCTCAAAGGCTTTTCACTCTGTCATTCTCACACCTTTATTTTGATCATTAATTTATCAACATACTATCATTTGCTTTAAAGAAAAAATTGGTTTCACAAAGCGAGAACTTATTCCAGGATAAATAAAACTTTACCCCAAGTAAATTTATACAGGACTGCAAAAAATTTGTGCCTATATAAATATGGTTAATAAAATCAAGGCTTGGCACTGGTTTACTAACTTCATATGTACAGTTTAGTCCAAATGCTTCATCTGGTATGATTGCGGAAGATATGTTACACAACTTGAAGCTTGAGTTTACTGTTTGTTAACCAGTAATCTGGAATGCTGCCCTAGTGCTTATCAACAAGTGTTTATAAAATGCAGATTGTTAGTGTTTATCTATAGAGAAGAATATTAATAGAAGTGGTTTCTTTGAGTCTATTTTTCCCTGTAAGTACACACAATGTTAAATGTCCAATTAAAGGCAGCAACATTGATTTAATCCTCTTGATACAGAAGTTTTTTGAACCACAAATTCTTTGCACAATAATTCTTTGCATGTTGGATAATAGCAAGGGTAACTTGAGTTGTTTTATGACTTGCAATCAGAGACAAAGTTTGCCTTTTTTCTGCAAACTCCATTTCCTACAAAGAGGAAATTGATCTAAAACAGACTGAGATTGTTTATGACATATTAATTCATATATGCACGAAACAAATCTAGCCAAACTGTGCTAGTGAGAATGCCATTGCTGACTAGATATCATTGGTAAGGAAAGGTGTCAATGTCCGCACACATTAACCAAGTGAACTGCACACATGGCGAGACACTCTTATACAAGCATTAACAACAACTTACAAATCATTCACCCCTACTGACAAGCTACTATGGATGAAAGATCATATGAAGATATGGACACACACACATTTCAAACACAGACATACAACCACAGCAGTTTTATTAATGGCCAAAGTACAAGCTGCATCTGACTTCCAGTTACCAACCTTTGAAATCCCATAAAAACTCAGCACATAAACCAAGCATTTTGTAAGAAGACACAGAGGGAATTCTGTGCATCAATAAAAAGCATGAAGTTTGATGATCTAATTACGGAGATCAATGGCTTCGGCAGGTTCCAGAAAATGATTCTTTGCATCAGTTTTGTAGGACGATTCACTATACCGTGCCACTTTCTATTAAGCAACTTTATCGCCGCCATCCCGTCTCACCATTGTGACATCAGCTCTCTGGATGCTGAGGGAATATTTTGGAATTTGAGTCGGGAGCAGAAACTGGCTGCCAGTATTCCAGCGCAGGAAGATGGGACTCCTGCTTCTTGTCACATGTTTTCTTATCCTCAGTTACATCTGTTGGCAAACTCCTCCAGCAGCACAGAACGTCCTGTAGTGGAGTGTCAGAATGGATGGGAGTATGACAACAGCACATTCATCAGCACTCTTGCCACACAGGTGAGATTTCAATGAAGAAGGTGCTGCACTTCACAAACTCAACGTTTTTTACCTTTATAATGAAATGTTTCATTTCATTTATAATGTTTACATTAGAGTTAACAACAGTTAACATGAACTAACAATGAACAATACTTTCACGGCATTTATAACCTTAATGTTAATTTAAATATTTACTAATACATTTTTACAAAGAAAATTGGTATCTGTTAGCATTAGTTAATGCACTGTGAACTAGCATGAACAAATGTTAATGCAGTGTTAAAAAATTGCTTACACAATTCCTCAAACTATGGCTCCTTTTCTCTAAACTCTACACACAAAACAAACACAGCATGCAAAATATTACACATCTCTTGCAAAAGCAAACACTTATTACATAACATTTGAACTCTTTTTAAAAATGTGTTTTTGTGTAGTAACTCTACACACAAACCATTAAATGATTAGCCACACGCCAAACTACGCAGATGTGAAAAATGTAAAACACTACTCTCGTGTCTTTTGCTTGTTCAGTGTGCATGAGTTTGTCATAGCACTTACACGTACATGTGTGTGCACAAATACACTGTATATACAGTATGTATGCACAATTGATGAACTTTTATTGAACTGAACTGAATCAACACTGAACTGACTTGAGCTGTATAATGACACTTTTGGCTTGTTAGAGCTGCTTTGAATTATGATAATTTGAATTTGTTGTTGTGAAGCTGATTTTTTAAACAATATGTATTGTATAGAAATAAAGGTGTAAGGGATCCACTGGAGGCAAGTTGTAACGAGAACCCAAGTGCAGTGTTTATTCAAAAATAACATAGAACAAGATCAATACATGAAACAAATCATGGACATAGACTTACACAACAGAGGTTACAGGAAACAATACTTAACAAAGACAGATGGCAAACATGAGGGCTTAAATACACAGACTAATGACAGGACAAGGGACACCTGTGAACAATGAACAGACGATTAACCAATGACAAGACACATGGCAGGATCACATGACAAACAGGGAATCACATGAGAGACATGGAACATGACTTGAGGCTTGTTCGACTTAAACCGTCGCTGCACAGAACGATCGGTTAATGACATCAAAGTACCGCGAGAGCATTTCAAAAGCATAAGGAGCTGTATGCTCTCTAATCACTCTCGCGGTACTTTGATGTCATACACTAATCGGTATGTGCAGCGCCGGTTCAAGTCGAACAAGCCTAAGAACAAACCAAAACGTGACAGAGACAAGAGTCACAAGACCAAAACGTGACAAAAGGTGACTTGACTTGTATGCATATTCAGTACATACAGTATTTACAAAATAAACAGAAATGCAAGGGTAACATTTTTTTATTTCTAAGTGATCAAATTAAGCGTATTTGCTTTAAACAGAAATGCAAGGGGGTAAAAATTATTTCTTTCCCAAAACATTCCGGTTTGATTTCTAAATAAACAAATAATGTATAAGTATTTTTTTTTTTTTACACATGATCATTAGGTGTAGGTAATGTGAGGACTATGAATGTGGCATTTGAATGGCAGTGTTTTCCAAATGAAACACAAGAGCTGTTAGTTTTGAATAATGTGTCTAATGTATTGTTTTACAATTGCAAACTGAGTGTAAACCATATAATGCGCTAGCAGTTTTGCAGACTTGGTCTGAAGATTAGGTATATGAGTGACTACTTTTTGTGTGTAAGCTATATATTTTTTTTTTTTTAACTGTAAATGCTGTATGCTAATGTTTTACAAAACAATATTTACTGTATGAATACTGTGAAGAGAGAGAAACTGTCTTACTATTAAAAGACACTATAAACTCTACTCAAATACATTGTGTCTAATTTGAGCAAAATCAGTTAAAATTTAACATAAAATTAACTCAAGCAAGTCAGTAGTAATTATTGGCTAGGAATTCTGCACGTGCAATTAAAAAACAAATTTAATAGCAATAGTTTTTCAGTCATTTGCACATTCTTAACCTGAGACAAGTTTTTTTTTCTCTCTGCCCTTGACATCCAACCAATAAATAAATAAATGAATTTTTCAGTTGGGGAATTTGAGGGGTAATGTGACAAATAAATGGTTGCAGGTTCATGCACATCTACATTTAGTTTTGAAAGTCTTTTAGTTCATGAAGCAGTTCATCACAACAGTTACTGTTTAAGAAAAGTTATTTTCCATCTCTCTTCATTTCACAGTGGGATCTAGTATGTGATAACAGAGGTCTGAATAAAGCTGTGGCCACCATCTTCTTCGTCGGAGTGATGTTTGGAGCAGCTTTTTTTGGAGGCATGAGTGACAGGTGATGTTTCATTAAAAATAGATCTGTGTACTATAATAAATGATGTACATTTTATGAACACAGCATGAAATGAAACAGTTCTGTATAAAAAACATACTCTGTTTGGCCTGTAGATTTGGGCGTAAGCCAATGCTGCTGGTGTCGTATATATCAGGAATGGCTTTTGCATTGGCCAGCATCTTTTCTTCCTCCTTCATCATGTTTGCAGTGCTGAGATTCTTTAGTGGATTCACCATAACTGGCATCATTATCATCTCAACCGTACTCAGTAAGAACCTCTCTCTCTCAGTCTCAATGCCTCATTATGATTGAAAGTGAATATAAAACAAAGGAAAAGGGCCTTATCGTATATACGTGTCTTTCTCCAGATGTGGAGTGGGTGGACATTCAGCACAGGAGACTAGTATGTATAATTGACAGTATGGCATGGGCTGTTGGGAGCACCTCATTGTCTCTTATTGCGTTCTCTATCAGAGACTGGAGATGGCTGACAGTGGCCGTCACTTCACCTTTACTACTGTCCACAGTCCTCTGGTGGTAATGGGCCTTACATATTCTTTCGGTCTAATTTAAAGCACAAATGAGTCAGTACAGCCTATGTCTAAAGACATGCCCTGCATGTGTCCAAGTACCCGGATTCTGAAGTGTGCATGCCACTGGAGACTTTACAACCCCATGAGGCCACGTGGGTGATTTATGAATGGCAGTGAAGCAATGCAACTCACGCCATAGGTTCACATGAATTTCACATCTGAATTTCATTCCTACTACACATATTCATCCTATAGGACACACCTTTTTTGACAGTTGCTAAGTATATTTCAAACCAAATGTAGTACCTACTTAGTATGCGCTTTCGGACACAGCATCGTACGGTGGCCGAGACAGCTCAACGCGCTGCAACTGAAGCAAACACATGCAAATAGAGAAAAACGTGTGCAAATAGAAAAAAACACATGCAAATAGAAAAACACGCGTGCAAATAGAAAAAAACACCAGCAAATTAAAAAAAACATCTTCATCAGTTTCACAACACACGTGTGCTCCAAATAAGGAAACGTGCTGCAAAAGTTCACAACACAACCAAATACAGAAAACGCGCTGCAAATAACACAGACCACAACGGAAATGTTTCCAGGGGAA